AAGTGTCATCAAGCCCTATATAGAGGATTTCTGAGGAGCAGCTGGTGGGTTTGAGCTGCTAACCTTGGAATTCAAACTGACCTTGTGATTCAAACCAACCTTGCAATCCAGTGCTTATCCTACAGCACCACACCAGGACTCCAAGCAAAGGGTAAGATTTTTTTCAATGTAAAAATCTCTGTAAACGTTACTCAATTTATTAAAAAAAAAAAGACTGAGTCAGTATGGACCTTGGACTTAATTAAATGTAAAATGATAAACTATGTAGAAAAAAAAAAAAAACCGAGGGATTTAGGGCTAAGCAAAAAATTCTTAAATTTGAAATCATAGGTGTGATCATAAAAGGAAAAATGGATAAATTGGACTTGATCAAAATGAAAAACTTTTGCTCTGCAAAAAATAGGATGAAAAGACAAACTACAGAGTAGGGAAACTACTTGTAAACCACATGTTCAGCATAGCACTTATACTCATAAAAACTCTCAAAATTCAACAGTAAAGAAAACCAAACAAGCAATACAATTAGTAAATGAATAGCAAAGATGAGCAGTCAAGTCACCAAAGAGGGCATTGTTATTGTCAAGTGCCTGCCACTGAGTGGGTTCTGACTCATAGTGACTCTGTATAGGGTTTCCGAGGAGCGACTGGTGATCTTGAACCACCGACCCTGCAGTTCAAACTGAATTTGCAGTCCAGCGCAATAACCCATAGCGCCACACTAGGATTCCAAAGAGGTCATACAGGTGGCAAATACCACATGAAGAGACTTTTTACTTATTAGCACTATCAATACTTGATTAAGACCATAATAGAAATTTCCTGTTAGGATGAGTATTTAAAAACAAAACAGTAGGACAAAATTCAAAGCGGAAAAGGTAAACAAACAAAAAGGAATCCCTGCGACTATTGTTCTGAGAAAGTCTAACTTGAAACTGAAGACACTCCCAAGGCCACCTTTCGGTAAAATATTAAACGGGCCTATAAAGCAAATATAAGAATGTACTCCTCAGAACAATCGACTGTCTAGACCAAAAGATGATCATTTGTCCAAAGCCAGAGATAAGAAGACAGGAAGGGATGGGGAAACTGGATGAATAAAACGAGGACTCCAGGAAGGAAGGAAGCAGAGAGCCTGACACATTACAGGGACTGCAGCCAGTGTCATGGAATGATCTGTGTGTGAACTATTCATTGGGACAACGAATTTGCTGTGTAAACTTTTACCTAAAGCACAATAAAGTGCTAAAATACAATTATTAGCTATTAACTAAATCCAAATTCACTGCCATCCTGTTGATTCCAGTTCATAGCAACCCAACAGGACATAGTAGAACTACTCCTTAGGGTTTTTGAGACTGAAAATCTTGATGGGAGCAGACTGCCTCATCTTTCTTCCCAGGGAGTGCTTGGTTGGTTTGAATCAATGCTTAACCCCCTGCACTACCAATACTTATTTGCTGTTGTCGTTAAGTGCCATTGAGTTGGTTCTGACTTATAGCCACCCTTTATAGGTTTTCTGAGTAACAGCTGGTGGGTTTGAACTGCTGACCCTGTGGTTAGTAGTCCAGTGCTGATCCAAAGTGCCACACTAGTACTCCATGCTTATTTGTTGTTGTTAAGTGTCGTCCAGTTGGCTCCAACTCATAGCAACCCTGTTGCATAGGGTTTCCAAGGAGTGGCTTCTGAGTTTGAACTACTGAATGTGGTTCAAACCAACTTTGTGGTCCAGTGTTTTATCCCACAGTACCATGTCAGGACTCCATGCTTCTTATTGTCTTATTGTTGTTAAGTGCCATCGAGTCAATTCCGACCCATAGCGACCCTCTATAAGGTTTCCAAAGAGCCCCTGGTGAGCTTGAACCACCAACCTTGCAGTTCAAATGACTTTGCAGTCTGACGCATTAGCCCACAGCGCCACACCAGGACTCCATGCTTCTTATTGGTGGTGGTTATGTGCCGTGGAGTCGGTTCCGACCCATAGCGACCCTGTACAGGGTTTCTGAGGCTGTAAATCTTTACGGAAGCAGAAAGCCTCATCTTTTTCCCGCAGAACAGCTGGTAGTTTTGAACTGCTGACCTTGGGATTTGCAGCCCAATTCGTAACCACTACACTACCAGAGCTCCTTATGCTTCTTATTAGGGAAATGAAAATTAAAACTACAATGAGATCTTACCTATCAGAATAGCTAATTTTTTTCTTTTTGAAATGATAACACTAAATGCTGATTAGTCTGGAGAAACAGGATACTCAAAATTTTTAAATAGCACAGCTATTCTGGAAAATAGTTTGATAGTTTCTTATAAAACTAACCTGCATTCACCATACAACTCAGCAGTTACACTATTGGGCATTTATCCCAGATAAATAAAAACTTGCTGGGGGCTGTCAGGTCGATTCTAACTCACAGCAACCCCATGTACAGTAGAATTGCCTCAGAGTTGTTTTTCTTCTTGTCTGTAATCTTTACAGAAGAAGATTGCCTTGTCTTTCTCCTGTGGATTTCTCCCATGGGTTCAAATCACCAACTTTTTAGTTAGCAGCCAAGCACTTAACCTTAAAATGAAAATGTAGATACCCTTGCAAATCTGCACAGTTTTGTTCATCACAGCCCAAACCTGGAAGCAGCCAAAATGTCCTTCAGTGGGGTGGAGGGTGAAAGAAATTGTGGTATGTCCATAGCATGGAAATACTATTCGGCCATAAAAAAGAAGGAGCTATTGATAAATGCAATACCCTGGGTGAAGAGAGAATTATGCTAGTTAAAAAAGCAAAATCCAAAGGTAACATGGTATGGCTATCTAGCATTAATGAAATAACAGTAAAGATGGAGAACAGATTAGCAGTTGCCAGGGATTAGGGATTGGGGTGGGTAGAGAGGTGTGGCTATAACAGTGTAGCATAAGGAAGGCTCATGTTGGACATGTTCTGTATTTTGATAGTGATGGTGGTTACACAAAACACAAGGAAATCAATTGTCATTGTATTGATTCTGATCAGTGACTACTCCGTGTGTTTCAGAGTAGAATTGCACATACGGTTTTCAGTGGGTGTGACCTTTTGGCTGGTGGTTCGAAGTCTCCTACAGCGTCAAAGAAGAAAGACCTGGCCATCTGTTTCTGTAAAGATCACAACCCAAAAACCTTATGGATCAGCTTCACCCTGTAACACATGGGGTTGGAATTGACTTGGTGGCAAGGGGTTTATTTTTGTTTGTTTGCTTTTTTTGTAAGGGGGTGGTTGGTTAGACTTTTCAGAAGTTGCCAGGTCTTTATTTTGAGGCACTTTGGATAGGTTTGAACCACCAACTTTTTGGTTAGTATCTGAGCACTCAACTGTTTGTACCACCCAGAGATCCCTACACAAAACAACATATGATAGAATGCCACTGTAAATGGTAAAATCTGAATACACACTGTGGATTGTACCAGTGTCAATTTCCTGGTGATATTGTACTATAGTTAATGCAAGCTGTTAACACTGAGGGAAGCTAGGTGAAGGGAACACAGCACCTCTCTGCAGTTTATTTTACAACTTCCTGTGGATCTGTAATTATTTCAAAGTAAAAAAATAAACAACAACAACAAAAAACTAGTTATGAGAAATGTTATCAAGGAAACCTACATGGGACTGAGATGGATAAAGAATGGTGGATCTTGATGGGAGTGAAAGGCGTCTCTCAGAGGTGATGTTTAAACCAAGAGTGGAGATCTGAGGAGGGATCAGAGGAGGTACATTTATTTAGCTGTGCCCTCTTTCCCTGAAGAAAGCTCCACCAGGGAAGAGATGCTCAGAAGACCTCTAGACAGACCACTGCTGCTTCTGTACAGTTACTTCTGCTTCCCACAACACCTTGCGTTGATTGTTTTTCTCTTCTGCCATCAGCCTGGATAAACTGCTTGATGCTGGTCTCTATACTGGAGAAGTCACTGAACTTGTCGGAAGCCCAGGTAGCGGCAAAACCCAGGTACACATGAGACCAGCATCCAGGAAGAATGGGGAGGTGGATGGCATAGCCCTGTATCCTTGAGGAAGCTGCCGCTCCTGGGTGCTGAACTGGAGAGAGACACCAGAGAGAGTGGGGACTGAAGTTGGGTTGTGCTAGGATCTAGGCAGGATTCAATGGAGAGCTCCAATTTGGGGTTTTCACTCAGTCCCCCTGGTTTCTACTCAGATATGTCTGTGTATGGCTGCAAACGTGGCTCTCAGCTTACAGCAGAACATCCTATACATCGATTCCAGTGGAGGGCTGACAGCTTCCCGCCTTCTCCAGCTGCTGCAGGCCAGAACCCAGGATGAGGAGGAACAGGTAAGGGGCAAGGAGGGGTGGGTTCTTAAGGAGGTTCTGGCAAAGAAATACCACTTATCCCTTACATTGCAAGAATTCCAGCCATTTGGGCAGTAGTCACTTCTTGCTTGATAGTTTACTGGTTTGTGATTCCTTCCTGTATACTTTAAGCCTCTCCTGTTAATGTTATCATCCCAGTTTGGATGCTGCCCATACCAGTTCTTCCAGGAAACCTCCCAACCTTTTACATACTCGCAGCCAGGGCTAGCAAACACCCAGCATCCATGTTTCCAGCTCATTTCTTGCCTGTAGCAGACATCACTAATCAACTATAGCACTCTTTCCTACTGATCTCTGACTTCAGTTTACAGCTCAGTACATAGGCAACTACTGCTGTGAGGGAGAACTGGCTTGTTAGATAACACCCGATTAGCATCTTAGACTGAAGTCCTTGCTTTTGGTTGCCTCTTCATTTTCAGCCTTAACAATTCCGTTTCATCTCTTTCCCTCACACCTTATTCTTTTCTATCCTAAGTCCTTGCTTCTCTTTCCCCACACTTCAGGCAGCAGCTCTCCAGAGGATACAGGTGGTACGTGCGTTTGACATCTTCCAGATGCTGCATGTGCTGCAGGATCTCCGAGGCACTGGGTCCCAGCAGGTAAGCCTGCTCTTTTGCTCCTCTCTGCTTCCCCAACTTGTCAGGTGCTGTCTGTGTGCAGGCAGGAGTCCTAAACCAGACTCTGTTTGGAAATGTGAATGTAAAATCGATGGCTCCCCACAGTGCTTACTGCTTTCAGGATGGATCTCCTGCTTAATTCACATACCTTGTTTTCAGATGTCCTTCTTCCCTCTAAACAGTAAGCCCCTTGAGGACCTGGATCATGTGTTATTAATCTCTGCATTTGTGCTATCTCTCTGCTGGAACACTTAAGAACATTTTCAGCTGAAAATACTAGTTGGTGTAACAGAGTTGAACCTTGATAATATTTAAGTCTGGTTCAAACTCACCATCACTCATCAGGGCCACTATGAGTTGGGACTGACTCGACAGGACTTAACAATAACAACAACAACAACTTGGTATGTCTGATTCTCTTGCTTTTTTCCTCATGATTCAAAAGTAGCTGCTATGGCTCCAGGCATCATGTCCATATCTCACTGCCATTTCAAGGCAGTGAAAAAGAGATGACTCTTTTCTGTACCTTTCTTTTATCAGGGAAATCTTTTTTCAGAACCGACTAACAGGCATCGCTCCCCGCTTCTAGTTGGCTCAAACTAAGTTGTATGTGTATCTTGGTCCAAGAGTCAGGTCCACCTTCTCTGAAGTCAGGAGGTTTCTGCTTAGTACGTGAACATGTTCAGAGTCCTGTTAACAAGGAAGGGGAGTTTGGAATGGCATTTGGGTTAGCACCCATCTACACCTGTTAGGATAAGCACTAGACAGCTAACTGCAAGTTTGGTGGTTCAAACCTACTAGCTACTCTTTGGAAGCTGCCCTATACAGGGTCGCTGTGAGTTGGAACCACCTCCACAGCACTTAACAGTTTCTGATAAAACAACAAGCTTGTGCATGAGGCCAGTTGGCCCATAGTACCTGCCCCCCCTCCCCAGGTGATCAGTTCTGGAACTCTGAAGATGGTGCTGGTAGACTCAGTCACTGCTGTGGTTTCTCCGCTTCTGGGGGTTCAGCAGGGGGAAGGTGAGTGGTGTGCCAGAACCCAGGGTCAGGGGCCAGCCTGTCCCTACCTCCGCTGCCCTACCTCTTTGCTTCTCCTCCTCCAGGCTTGGCCTTCATGATGCAGCTGGCCCGAGAGCTGAAGACTGTAGCCCGGGACCTTGGCGTGGCAGTGGTGGTGAGGACATGGCCTTGGCCACCAGTGCCCAGTCTCCTCCCTGGTCCGTGGCTTTGCACAGGGCGGAGATTTGAACTTGATTTCTAGTTGGAGCACTTGATTTCTATTATGTGGTATTAGAATCCCCAACAGGTCTTTAGGAGAGTCATAGCCCTAAATGGCCAGCTTTGTGGTTCATACCCACCTTTCGGTCCAGTGGCTTCCCTGGGCCATCTGTGGCTCAGGACAGTGAGGAGATTGGATCATATATGGCCAGCGGGATCAAGGATGATAGCCTTGCTTTTCATTTTACTTTTATTTGTTTAATGCACCTTTGTTAAGTTGTTGTAAAGTACCGTGGAGTTGGTTCTGACTCATAGTGACCCTGCACAGGGTTTCCAAGGCTGTAAATCTGTACGGCAGCAGCAAGCCTCATTTTTCTACCGTGGAACAGCTGGTAGTTTCGAACTGCTGACCTTGAGGTTAGCAGCCCGATTTGTAACCACTACCCTACCAGATATATAGAAAAGTTCTCCCTGTTTGAATATGATTAATGGGTATAATCATATATAGTCTGTACCACCACTACAGTCAGATCATATACACTTTCAGTACCACCACTGCAATGAAAAGGCGTCCTTGTGTGGTGCTATACGAGAAGCACGAGACAGCTAACTGAAAGGTTCAAACCTACCAGCCACTCCTCAGAAATTCTATATAGGGTCGCTATGAGTTGGAATTAACTTGAAGGCACTTTAACAACAACAATGAAAGTTGATATAAGTACGTCTCTCATCCCAGAAAGTTCCCACAATCCCAAGCAACCAGTGATCTCTGTTTTATCACGGTGGCTTTTTCTTTTCCAGAGTTTCATGTAAATGGAGATTTTTATTTCTAAATTAAGTTTTTCTGTCTATGAAATAATTTATTAAAAAGTGCATGTTTCTTATAGAAAGAATAAGAAATATAAGACTAAAACCTGTAGTCAAATCTCCACACCCACAATACACTGAAACTATATTAGTATCGGAGTCCTGGTGTGGCACTGTGGGTTAATGCGCTGAACTACAAAAAGCTGGTTTGAACTACAAGGTCGGTGGTTCAAGCTCACTAGCCACTCCTCAGAAACCCTATCCACCGTCACTATGGGTTGGAACTGACTTGATGGCATTTAATAACAACAACATATTAGTATTATGATCTATTTCGATAGAATGTTTTTATTTGCACATATATATGTATGTTTTAAGTGACTTTTCTAATTAAACCGTAACCTTGTTTTAAAAAACAAATCTGTTTCCAGTAGTTTTTAAGAAAGCCTTTTTTAGCAGCTATATATTGTTTTGTAAAATGTCTATATCATGTTGTTTCTGTTGTTGTTAAGTGCCATAGCAACCCTGTATAAGGTTTCCTAGGAGTGCCTGATGGGTTTGAACCGCTGACCTGGTGGTTATCAATCCGGCGCTTATCCTACAGTGCTGTACCAGGACTCCATATCTGAGCTGGCAAACTTTTTCTAAAGAGCCAGGAAGTGTTTGAGGCTTTCTGGCCATATGGTCTGCATGCTAACTGCTTACTTCTGCCATTGAAGCATGAAAACCTGAAGTCCCATGTTTTACTGGAGTGAGCAAGATACAAGCCAGGAGCCCTAGGTCTGTGGTTCTAGACCCACTGATCAGTTGTGGAGCCTTCAGGAAGTCATTTCTCTGCTCCAGGCCTTAGTTTCCCCATCTGTAAAACTAGCATTATGGATCCATGGGTCTGATTCTTTTTGCCGCAGGTAACCAATCATGTGACCCGAGACAGGGACAGTGGGAAGCTCAAACCTGCCCTCGGGCGCTCCTGGAGCTTTGTGCCAAGCACCCGGATTCTCCTGGACATGCAAGAGGGAGCAGGCACATCTGGTAGTCAGCGTGTGGCATGCCTGACCAAGTCTCCCCGGCGGGTGAGTCAGCCCCAGGAGGCAGCCAGTAGTCTGGGTAGAGAGGGTAGTCTCCATGAACACAGGTGTTTATAGAGGACTTCTTGGATGCTGAAAACATGCAACTAAAGAGTTTCCCCCTTGGGTTACATAATTCAAAAGGTTACCTTTCTTTAGGGTGGTCGCTGAGCTTCTGTGAAGGGTAATGGTAATCGTGGTGGTAGAACAAGCTGATGGACCTAAGTAGCGTCACTGTCTGTGAAGATTACTGAAATGTTACATGTTTTGTTGCATATATTTTACCACAATTAAAAAGCAATTCTCCTGCCAAACACAAAACAAAGCTTACCTTTCCCTCTTGTCTCTTTTCCTTCCAGCCGACAGGAATCCGGGAGCTGGTAGACATCGGGATTTGGGGCACTCCGGAGCAGAGCCCAGTGCTAGAGGGTGATCAGACATGACTGGTGCTGTTGACGGGGAAAGCAGGAGGCACTGAGACCCCCATCATCTCTTTGGCCTACTAATGCCTGTGTTCACTGCCACCTAGCCCTTGGGACTGCAGGGGAAGCAGCTGTCAGGCTGGGCAAAGGAGTCCTGGACATCCCGGGTGAGAGGAAAAGAAAATAAACGTCTCTGGACTCCTCAGTTTCAGCTTCTGCAGGAGCATATTAAGCCTCTGGCAAGAGAGGATGCTACAGTGGAAGGACCCAGAAATGCATGCTGGTACTAGTTTTCGTCCCTTGTTTCCATCATGTATGTTTCCATTGGGAGCTGAGTGCTAACTTCGCTTGGGCATCTTGGAAGAGGCATGCCAGTGATGACTGACAACCCTGGGTGTCACCATCTGATCTTACATTCCACCTGGCACAGTGACTGAGCCATGAAGCCTCTGGCTCACCTCTGCTTCTCTTCTTTACCTTTTGTTACCTCTGTTGTCTTTCCACTGTAAGTTGGGGCACCCTGTCCTGTAGCTCTGCCTCTGAATGACTGGGTGGAAATAGCTTCATAAATGTAAAACTCTTCCTGCTGTGTTCTACTCTGAAAAGTATTCAAAAGACCTTCCCTGAGCCCCAGAAACATCTCCTTTTCCACAGATAGTTGTTTGTCAGCCCCACCCCACCCCATCCCCCAGCACATAGTCCTTCTCTCCTCTTGCTGTTTTGGTTTCACGCACCTGCACGCATCACTCTGCCTAGGTGAGAACAGGAGCTTGCTGCAGTCCCAGGGATATAATTTAACAGGAAGGGAGGATGTGACCTGCTAGTGGTGAATCCAGTCACTTGCTTAATATGCATGGTGCCCTCAACAGTATAGAGTAACCAGAGGTGCTGAACCATGGCCTTGCTCATAAACAGACAAGAGAATTTGCACAGTAAATAGAGCCAGCTGGGAAAATTGATGCTGGCGTAAATAATACATAGCAAATCTAGTCCTTTATGCAGAAATTCATTGCTGGTGGCTCCAAGATGCAATATAATTACACCTCTCTTCCTGCCAGCTGTACCACAGCTTAGCTAGCGCCCTTTTGTATGAAATAACCCCCCTGTCTGTTACCAGCACTGTGGCCATCCGTCTGAGAGCCGTAAGTAACTCTGGCTGGAAGCGGAGGACGACACCTGGGAAGGGAAAATAGACTAAGTGGAGAAGTGATCAGGATTGTTTACTGACCACATTCTTTGAAAGAAACGGTGCTTATTGTGTAATTAATTAGTTTTGTGTTGGCTGCAGGAAAAAGGGTCAGCGTTACATGCTGAAGAGATGACATTTAGAGATAATGAATGCAGCAAGGTTGAAGCAAGAAGCGTGGAGAGTTGGGAATGAGTGGTGAATTCGCTCTAGAGTATTGGACTGAGTCAGTACAGGGTCAGTGAGGCCAAGACTGGGGGATCCCTGATACTTGCTTTTACAAACTCCCAGGAGAAATGAATCTTTAGGTGCTATATTCCAACTCAAGATTTTACCTACATGGATGGGTGTTGGCACATTCCTGCAGCCACAGTAGGAAGCTAATACACTAAGCTCGGAATGGCAACTCCTTGGTACTTGTGGTACCATTTGGGCCTCTTCACCTAGGGCAGACAGCACTAATTAATCCTGGCTTTTTTAGAGGGGATTAGAGTCTTTCTTGATACAGCCTCTACCAATCAGTGGGAATTGACATTCACGCTAGAACATGGTTGCTGTCTCTTTCCTGGGCACATGTGCCATGTTTGCTCTATGTGGAGGAACAGGTGTGCCTTGTACCTGATTCAGAACCCTAGCATATTGGAGTTTGAAAGGCCTATAAAGGTCACCTGACCCATCCTATCATTTAACAGAGAAGGAAATGGAACCCAAGAGGGCTATTAACAGTGCCAGTGGCAGAACAGGGATTGGAACCGGAAGTCCTGGTTTCCAGATCAGGCCCTTTCTGCCCCCATACTGCCTTTGTTGTTCTAATCTGCACAGTTCTGTTTCTGTTGAGTGACTCCATCCACAGCTTTAATCCAGGTGGCCACTGGAGTCTCAGGAGGGTGCTCCATTTACTTCTATTGCAGACCACACAGCGTCCTGCAGGATCACTCCTCTTATTCCTTCCTTCCTCCTTTGACCTTGTTCTGAGGCCTGGACTAGAGCCTGCCCATAGGCTACCACTGTATGCCCCATTGTAGACACGCCATGCTTGGTCTCCCAGCAGGCCCTGGGCCAGGCTGACTGTGTGCCTTTTTGCTCTCTTTACTTATGGAACTGCCTCTACCCACCCACCCCCAAGATGCCTGGTATACACCCATCTTGACATCTTTTTTTATGCCTCAACTATCTCTAGATGGATGTTTATAATAATGCTCACTTGTACTTAAACTAGTCACTTTCCTATCTGCCCATTAGCATGAGAACTGCTTTAAAGGCTCATGCCAATTCTCTGGTGCATTCTACATTATGGGAGCTCAGTAAATGTTAAATATATGAATGGGTAGGCCTTAATGCATTTTAAAGATGGCAACGAAGATGTGCACAAATGTTTTTCTCTCGACCTAGATAGCCATCAAGCCCCCAGAGTTTTTCCACAGAGGACTAACATATTACATTTGACATCAGACAAATTGAATGTTGAATCCCTCCTATTTGCTAGCTCTTGATGCTCCAAATGACCTTCAGTCAGACACTTGAACCCCAAAGACTCTAAGGCAAAAGGTGGTACAGGTATTATTAATGCTGCTCCCTGTTGCAAGTAACAAAACCTGACTCCAGCTTAAACAAAAGGGATTTTTGTTACCTCCTATAACACGAAGTCCAGGGCTGGTGAATTCAGTAGCTCACTGTCAGGAGGCTTGGAGTCTCATGCTTCTTTGTTCTCTTTTTAAATTGGCTTATCTTAAAAAGCCAGTTAACCCACATCAGAGCCTGGCATCAGCCTACGCATGAAAATCTACGAAGAGAGAAGAGAAGTTCCTTCTTTGTTGTGTCCCTTTCAGAACAAGGAAAACTCAGAACATCGTGCTCATTCAAAGCAGGCTTCCTTAATATCTCATTGGTGTAAATACTCCTTGTGTCCATGTCTAAATGAGTAGTAAGTAACTGGCAAGGGAAATGGGATGACTGTGATTGACTCCAAGCAATCAGAAAATCACCCTGGAACTGGGACGAGGACTGACCTTTCCTCAAGCACAAGGTGTGGCCATTGAAAGAAAATGGGGTTTCTACTACAAAGGAAGGGAGCTCTGGTAGCGTAGTTTAGAATTGGGCTGCGAATCTCAAGGTCAGCAGTTCGAAACTACCAGCTGTTCTGTGGGAGAAAGATGAGGCTTTCTGCTCCTGTAAAGATTTACAGCCTCGGAAACCCTGTACAGAGTCGCTATGGGTCAGAATCAACTCGATGGCACTTAACAACAACAACAACAAAGGAGTAAGGGAGTGTGTTGAGGAATTGGACATTGGGTGGGTACCCACCAAATGTCTGCCCTACTCCCTAAGACAAGTTATGTGTATACATCTCCTTTAGACTTTAGGACAGTCTTACTCCTTTTTGCAGATTGTAAATGAGATCTCAGTGAGGAGAAAGACACCATAGAATCCAATCTCAAATCTTGATTCCAAACCCCACTCCTCCCCATCCTCTTGCTGCCTTTGGCTGTGAATATGTAAATGTTTCAATAAAACCTTTTCACATTTTTCCTAGATAAGCTTAGCTCACCATAAAAAGCTGGATCACAGATCCACCTTATCAGTGCTTTCCGATTTCCCCCGGGGAAGTTAGAAGAGAATGAAAAACACTTGGAGAACAGAGATATCATTAGTATAAAAGAGAACTGGAGGTTTAGTGGGCAATAACGCTGAATGAAAAATAAAAGGGTCTGTGCTTCCCTGAGATGTGAGTCAGGAGGAGTGAAGGGAGTTGAATGCCTGTCTGTCTAACTAGGTTTTTGCTGTGTTCTGGCATGGAGTTGTACCAGGTTGAGTTATAACTACAACTCTGTTGGGAATGGGCATTAGAGAATGCAGGAAACCTCAATTAGAGCTAGGTATATTATTTGTGAAAAGTTACCCCCCAAAAGGTGCTTTTCTGAATTTTTTCTTGTCCTGTTGTAATAGGTAGACTAGCTTCCAGTATTTCATTGAACTGAAGTGACCATAGCCATCATCCTAGACTTGACTGGGGCTGTTTCCACTATTGTATCATTAAGATGCTTTGGGTTCTCAGTAGTTACCTACTTACAAGTTAAAGACCTCATTTGTTTTTCTGTAAGTCCTGGAAAGAGAGTCCAGGACTCTGTCCATTGCCATGGATGGAGTTCACCCTGCTAGCCAACAGGAGACCCATCCTCCTGGTACCCCTGTACCTCAGTCACTGCGCAAGTGTGGCCCTTGAATCCTAACTTTTCTATGGCTTCTACTTTGTAGTTTCTGGGTTTTGCCAGAAGACAGGCCTGTGTGGAAAGAGATACAAAATCCAGGAACATGTTTTTTTACATCCCAACTAATTTGGTTTGGGCTCTGATATTGTTGTATAACCTTGGATGAACAACTTAGAGAATTAAATTTCATTCACTGTAAAATTATACCTGCCTTACAGAGTTGTTTTAGGGTTGTATAACTTATGCAAAGCATTGAATACTTTTCCAGGAATATAATAGACACTCAATCTCCCATTATCTTACCTGGAGGCTTTCAATACCTGGGAGATACAAGGTTCTGTCCAATAGCGCCTTGTGCTCAAAGGACCTAATGCTTAATGTGCTGTTTGCTGTCTCTGTCTTGACATTCATGACGCTTTTTGAACAGGGGATACTGCATTTTGCATTGGACTCTACAGATTATGTAGCCAATTGTGTGTCTAGGGGGTGGGTAGAACTCTGTACTGGCCTTTCTCTTTGGAAAAAAATCTTACTGCTGATTTCTTAGTATTTCCTTGTAGTCCTGTCCAATAGAAAAACTAGTTAGCATCGTATGTGTGCTTAGCTCAGTCTCCATTCTGGGGTTATCCAGCCTCTTTCAGAAATAAACACCCCATGTTTTACAGAATTTATCAGGTCTGTTGTTAAGTGCCGTTGAGTATGAGGTCAGGGATTCTTAAACGAGCCTTGGTGGCACTATGGATTAGGCATTGGGCTGCTAATTTCAAGGTTGGTAGTTCAAACCTACTAGCCAGTCTTCAAGAGAAAGATGTAACTGTCTGCTCTCATATTCATAATCTTAGAAACTGTTTGTAGGGTCTATATGAGTTGGAATTGACTCAGTGGCAGTGGGTTTTTTTGGGGGGAAGGAGCTAAGGGTGCAGTGGATTAAGCATTGGACAGTTAATCAAAAGTTTGGTGGTTCAAACCCACCAACCACTCCACAGGAGAAAGATGAAGCAATCTACTTTTGTAAATATGTATAGCCTTAGAAACCCTGGAGAGCAGCCCTATATGGTTGCTACATATTGGAATTGATTTGATGGTAGTGGGATTTCTTAGGTGTGGTGGTGGTATTGTGCTGTGGAGTCAGTTCCTATGCATAGTGATCCTGTATAGGGATTCTGAGGCTATAAATCTTCACAGGAGCAGAAAGCCTCATCTCTTTCCTATGGAACTTGCTGGTAGTTTCCAGCTGCTGACCGTGAGATTAGCAGCCTGACTTGTACCCACTATGCTACCAGAGCTCCTTGTCTTAAGTACAGGGACACTGTTATGTGCTGTTCAGTTGGTTTCAACTCATAGCAACCTTGCATGGGGTTTCTGAGGGTGGCTGGTGGATTTGAACTGTTGACCTTATAGTTACCAGCCTAGTGCCCTAGTGGTTAAGTACTCGACTACTAACTGAAAGGTCGGTGGCAGTTCTACTCTGTCTTACAGGATTGTTAATAATCAGAATCAACAGTGACGGGTTTTATCAGGTCTAGAGTAGCCAGGGGAAGCTGCTGGAGTGGAATGACAATTCAGGATTTTGGAATCGGGGAAAAGATGTAGGTTCAAAACCCCACCAGGCTTACTCTGGCTGGGTTACTTGGATAAGGTAATGTCATTGTCTCATTGGTAAAATCTATGTTGCAAGGTTATGGCATTTTCTTTATTGATAAAATATGTCTCAGAGGGAATGAAACATAATTTATGTAAAGTGCATTTCACAGAGAGTCTGACACACAGTAGGTGTCCAATCACCATTAATTCTTCAGGCTCTTACCAGAAATAACAAAAACAAATCAGGGTACTAGGACTTTACAAGCCCTGCTGCTGCTAATAAAAGAAATAATATGATTTATTTCTTCACTACTGTTTGGGAAAGGCATGTGCTTCATAAATATGTATTGGAAAGTACTTAGCAAATGAGTAGAAATAATAAAAATATGTCAAAGTAAACAACTCCTATAAATATGTCACTTGGTAGACAAATTAGTGTTTTATTACTACTAAATACTATTGCCCAACGAAAAGGATTTCAGATTACTTGCACAATGGGTGAATTATTGAGTGCCTCTGTGGAAGGGCATGATAAAGATGAAAAATAGTGATGGTGATAATGCTAAAGGTGGAGAAAGGAGCGTGGGTAGGAGCTGTTCAGAGGAGATGCCTAGTTTCAGTGATGTGCACATTCTGTAGCAACATTCCAATGATTTAGCTGTAATATGGACCAGAGGGCCCAGAAAAAATGATTTCCACAGGATGTCATGAATCCAGACTTCCAATTATTGGGTCCTATCAGATTAAGTGCATTCCTATTCTAAACTGAACTCTCAGTTTGTAAACAACGTTTATAGAAAGACTGCTCTGTTAAAGGTCTCACCCCACCATTGTTCTGGACGATTAACCTTATGTGACTGCAGTTAACTTGGGTTGAGGAGGAGGAGCGATGTGGTGGAGAATGCTGTGCCTTAATCACAGATCATGAGTCCATTTCAGAAATATGAGAGGATGAACAAGGTCCTGGCTTCTCAAGAGAAAAGGATCCAGAGAGGGAAAAGAGACAATACATGCCTTCAAGAAGGAAGATAAAGACCTGGAGAGAAGCAGAGAGCACAGGGAATTGCATCAAGGAAAGTTACAAAAATAGCCAGGTAGGAAAAAGTTGAGCTTTTTCAATTCAGATGTTGGAAGCCTGTCTCTCTCTCTCAGGCTGTCTTTCCATATATTCCTGGTAATGGAAAGAACCGGTTTCAAATTCCAGATCCTCCTTTTTCTAATTCTGTGGAGCTTTAGGTCAATTAATGTGCAGATCCTCACTGACAAAATGGGAATAACAGTACTCAGTTTGCAAGGTTGTTGTGAGAATTAGAAAAAATCCTTGTGAAGTGACAGAATCTGATCTACATAAATGATATTTTAACTTCACTTTTCCTTATGATATGGTTTCCTTACTATTTTAAAATAGGAGGACAAACTGCTCAGAAGAACTCTGGGAGGTCTCCGTAGAAACCTAAGGCATAAGGAAATTAAATTTCACTAGACACTAGTAAGAAGAAGGATTAGAATTTATATCATTTTCATGAGTCGGCATCTTATCCCACACTGGTTTGTGATTCTCCGTGCTACCCTGGTGCTTCATAGTTTACTATGTACACTGACTCGCTCATTTAGTGTGCTTACCAACCTGCCTGTTAGGGATAAGGGAACTGGAGTTCAGAGAGGGTAAGTACGTTGCTGGAAGGCACACAACTAATGAATGACCTCGGGGAACATCTTGGCACAATGCCATTTCCATTCTAGCACTGCCTTCTAGCGGTTTCCTCACTTTCCTAAAAAAAAAAAAAAATTGCTAATCCCTTGGGGTTTAGACTGGAAGGTACTAGTTGAGGAAGAAGCTGTCAGTAGAGTGGGGACAAGCATGAGTTTTGACGACATAGACCTGGCTTCTAATACTTAACAGCAGTGACACCTTGAGTTAGTTAAGTGCTGTAGAGTTGAGTCAGTTCCGACCCATAGCGACTCTGTATAGGAACGGCTGGTGAGTTTGAACTGCCAAACTTGGGGATTCAAACCGACCTTGTTAAGTGCCATCGAGTCGGTTCTGACTCATAGCGACTCTATATAGGGTTTCCAAGGAGCTGAAAGACCGTGTGGTTCGCAGTCCAGTGTTGACCCTACAGCACCACACCATAAATTCAGGGTTTACCATCCAGCACCGTAATGAGGTTGGGTTTCCACATTTGTAAATTAGGAACTGATTCAGCATTGTCCTGGGGAGCCGTGAGATCTGAAAATGAGGCAACTTTAAACTTTTTATGAGAAAGATTTAGAGATGTTAAGGTCACTAATTTGGATTATGTGTCCTCTCTCCAAATTCTGCAATTAATGCCTAGAGGATCTCACCGCCGCCTGGCCCCAGTCCAGGTTTGGCCCGGCTCGGCCCATGGAAGCCTCGGCTCCGCCAGGGGGCGCGCGCGGGAGGCGCGCTCTAGCCCTCAGCGCGCCTGCTCCTCTCTATGGTGACCCGGGCGCGGCGGCGGCGGAGGCGCGCTCCTGAGGGGGTGGTGTCGCGCCGGGGGCGGGGCCGCGTGAGGGGCGGGAACGCCGAGCCCGGTCGGTCCGGGATGGGTGAGGGGCCCGACTTCCTGGGGCTGCCTATGATGATGTCGCGACCGCCCCCCAGTGCCCCTCGGTCCCGGAGACGCAACTGCTGCGGAGTCCCGATCCCGCCTGCCTGAGGCGTCCGCGGTCCGGATCCAGCCCCTCCTCTCTCAGGTGCGGGCCGGGCGGGCAGCCGCGGCAGGTGAGAAGGCGAAGGCGCTGGGATTCGTGGGGCGTCGGGCCTGGGCTGCGTTCCGAGAGGACAAGAGGGTACGCCTCGGCCCCGGGTGCCACCCGACTGTGGTGTGGGGCGCCTTTTCTGTGCGGGCGTGGCATGGGACTCCGTGGAATGGGAAAGCCCCTTCCTCTCTGGAACACTCCTCATTCACGGCAGTCCACACCTGTCCCATTAAAGTGCGCTCCGAGAGTCCTCCTTGGGGGCAGTAACTGGAGATGTGTGTCCTTAACTATTTCCAGTCCCCTAACAAACCGGCAGTCCCACTTGACTTGCTAGGGAAAGATGCCTCTTTGTATGGTAGGGGAAACTGAGGCAGAACTGCGCAGGCCTGCTTTGCTCTTTCAAGTAACTAGCCCATCCCTACTTCCTGGGAGCCTTGCAGGCTCCTTGCAGGCTGCTGGAGTTTGGGGGGGTTAACGGAAAAGTTTGGGAAGTGGTCTCAGAAGTTACCCCTCTGTTCCTCTGTGTTGTGTGTGACCAAGGTCGCCCCGAAGTGGCAATGACAAAAGAGTGGCAAGTGTGGGGCCTCTCCAGCTGTCTGCCCTAGTTTGACCAGGTTAGGAGAAGTGGGACTAGCCCGGACCCCAGAGCCTCGATTTCAGGCTGGTAAAACAAGGTACAGCAAACAGCGTATTTTCTCCTTTTTGTTGTTCTGGAGGGAAAAATTGTTACTCCTGGAAAAGTATCCTGCTCCTCCCAGTCTACCATAAGGAAGGATTATTGTTAGTTGAAAGTAGGACAGCCCCACCCCCACCCCAATAGTCATTTTGCCCCTGGTTAAAGGTCAGAGTGACCTGATGAATAAACATCCCGAGGTCTATGTGGCCTTCCCAGAAAGCAGTCATTTCCTTCTGCATCCCTTTTACAGGTGACTGGGAGGACAAAGACACTTGCCCTCTGCACTGTTGATCCAAACTTTTGAGGAGCCTTCTGGTCCTCCCGGGTGTCTAGGTGTGGCGCAGTAGGTTAATGCTGTGGACTGCAAAATCAGTTTGAACCACAAGGTCAGCTGTTCAAGCTCACCACCTGCTTCTCGGAAATCTATTCAGGGTTGCTATGGGTCGGAACTTACTTGACAGCGCTTAACAACAACATGGCCCTCATGGGAGTCCTGGTGTAGCTCTGTGGGTTAATACGATGGACTTACAAAATCAGTTTGAACCACAAGGTCAGTGGTTCAAGCTCACCAGCTGCTCCTTGGAAACCCTATATAGGGTTGCTATGGGTCGGAACCGACTGGAAAGCAGTTAACAACATGGTCCTCATGACAATTGAGAGGTAGCCAAGGCTGTTGGTTTTTCTAGAAATGGGAGTGGGGGGACATGGTGTTGGGCGAGTTGGTATGGAGTTCTAGAGTTGAGAGGTGGCAGTAATAGTGATATCTCTCTCCTGTTCAGGAGACCTCAGGTTTGACAATGTCTTTATTCCCTTCCCTGATTGTATTCTCTTTCACTTTCAAGGAAAACAGATACAGCAAATATTTCTGAAACTTCATAGTCTGTTTTCTAATTCTGGAGTACAAGTTATAAAATTGTTCATGTGAAAATGTGGGTATTTGGGTACTGTACTTTCAAATGGAGTGCTAGTGGCTCTCTAGAAAAGTGCTGCTAACCACAAGGACAGTGGTGCTAGCTCTCCAGCCCCTCAGCGGGGGAAAGATGAGGCTTTTTGTTCCTGCAAAGATTTACAGTCTCAGAAACCCTATACAGGGTCACTATGAGTAGTCAGAACCAACTCTATGACACTTGACAGCAACAGCAATTGTGATGATTGATGTAGCAAAAGATGTCAGTGTAACCTAGGGCTCACGTGGTAAGGATGACCAGCCTATGAAAACTTACATTGATCAAATAGACAGCTGTTACCTGACTGTTTATATTGGAATGGAAAGTTGTGAAGTTAATATATACAAAAAGAGAGAGCTTTTCTCAGAAAGCTTAGAAATTACTTTGCTTCCAAACTGTCACATGGCTGAGCCAGTTGACATAACTTTGCCTGGCACCATATAATAGGGATGCCTCATTCAGGGTTCTTAAAATAGCAATGAAAAGGGCATTTTCAGTGACCAGCACTTAAGAAAATAAAACACACAGCAACAATAACAACAGAAGGGCCTAATATCTTTCCTAATGACATCTGCATTGTGATGTTCAGTACAACCACCCTATGTGTATACCTAGGACACCTGCAAATACCTGCATAAACCTGAGGGATTGGAAAACCCCCAAACCCCACTCCTGTTGAGTTGATTCTGACTCAGCCACCCAGGTAGGGTTTCTGAGGCTGTGAATCTTTACAGGAGCAGAAAGCTTCATCTTCTCTGAGTAGCTGTTGGGTTTTGGTTAGCAGTCCAGTGCTTATTCTACAGCACCACTAGGGCTCCTTTTTTAGAGACTAATTTAACTAAAAACTTCACCCTGATGCTTATTCTTACCCACTGTCATCAAATCCATTCTGATTTATAGTAACCCTTTGTTGTGTACCATTGAGTTAGTTCTGAAACATAGCCACTCTGTATAGGTTTCTGAAAACAACTGGATGTGTTTGAACAGCTGACCTTATTCAGCAGCACACCAGCACTCCAATTATAGATTAAAACCAAAAATCCCAACCTACTGCTTTAGGGTTAATCCCAATTTATAGTGAGCCAATAGGACAAGCCTATAGGTTTCCAAGACTAAATCTTCAGTGAAGTTGACGACTACATCTTTCTCCCTTGGAAAGGCTGGTAGGTTTGAACTGCTGATCTTTTGGTTAGCAGCAGAGTACCTTAACCTTTGCATCACCAGGACTTCTAATACGATGATTAGAGACATGTCATGCATGTACTGACTATAGCGTTCTTGCTTTGGGAAGAAAGATTTTCTCTTGAATCTTGGAATCTCATAATCCCAAAAATCAAACATAATTTAGAGTTTGATGAGAATGCAGTTTAAATTGCTGTAGGTGAAGTGTCAAGAGAGGATCTGCCTCATTGTTTTTGTTGGGTAATGGTTATTAATTTGGTAATGGTTGCTTAGGTTTATCTAAGAAAGATTTTGCCAATTACATATGTACAAACACAAACTCCTATAGGGAAATGGCCTGGCTCCTTCTTTGTTCTGTGACTACATTATTCATGAAGTTTTAAAATTGTAAATCTTGTTGCAGTGTTAATAGGATATTATCCTATTATATTTCACATGAAAGCCATCCCCTGTTTCCAGGGGATAATAGTTGGTGTCAGGAGTTCTGGTGGAACTGTGGGATAAGGTTTTAGATGCTAACTAAATGGTAAGCAGTTCAAAACCATCAACTGCTGTCCGGGAGAAGGATGGGTCGGTCTGTCTGCTCCTGGAAGCATTTACAGCCCTGGAAACCCTATACAGGAGAAGGATGGGTCGGTCTGTCTGCTCCTGGAAGCATTTACAGCCCTGGAAACGCTATACAGGAGAAGGATGGGTCGGTCTGTCTGCTCCTGGAAGCATTTACAGCCCTGGAAACCCTATACAGGCTTGCTATGAGTTGGAACCCGACTTGATGGCAGTGAATTTGGTTTTAAGGCCAGGACACAGCTTTTAATGGCACTGTGGTGAAATTGTTGTTGTGTTGTTAAGTGCCGTTGAGTTGGTTCCAATTCTCGTAGTGACCCTGTGTGAAGGAAAGGTTTCCAAGGAGCAGCTGGTGAGTTTGAACCACCAACATTGTGGTTCAAACTGACCTTGTGGTCCCCAGTGCATTACCCTGCAGTTCCACACCAGGACTCCATGGTGGTGGTGTGCCTTGGAGTTGGTTTTGACTCATTGACCCTGCATAGGATTTCTGAGGCCTTTATGGGAGCAGAAAACCTCATCTTTCTCCCAAGGAACATCTGGTAGTTTCAAACTGCTGAATTTAAGATTAGCAGCCACCTGTAACCATTAAGCTACCAGAGCTCCTTAGGTTGCTTAGCCATTCTGTGGGCGAGAAGACCTGAGGCCTGCCTCTGTAAAGCTTGCAGCCTAGGAAACCCTGTCAGGCACTTTACTCTGTCCTCTGGGGTCACTGTCTGGAATGGACTGGACAGCACCCAACAACAAACAACAGGTCAGGACAGTGGTTATGTCTGGTTGTAGTTTAAAGCCATTACCCTTTATCCTATCATGAAGGGCCTCCTTTGTTTTCTCCTATTCAAGTGGCATATTCTACAGGTTGGTGCAATTTTAGCTGCTATTCTGAATAGGAGCTAACTAAGCAAGTAAAGGGAAACCTATTGCATGTTTCAAACATTCTTAGCAATTTTTAAACTTTTTTTTTTTTTTCAAAGCAAGAAAAAGACCTGCATTTCTTCTGGAGGGAAAACCAGCTATTTGATACTGAAGCAAAAAGCTGGGTTTTCTAGTTTTCTAACTAATACAAAATTTCCCTTAACCCTTTCTTCCTTCCTATCTGGTTTTGCAGGTACAGTGATTGGTAGTGAATGATGACCTATAGGCTTTAGGCAATCCTGAAAAGCCTCTTGAAGCATCAAAGGAAGGTGACATTGTATTCAAGGCAGTTTTAGCCTTTTTAGTGGATTTTATTGCTAGGAGTTCCCAAAAGCCAGCCACTCCTTGAATATCAGCATTAGACAATTTGCAACTGAGTCATGGAGGCATTCTTTGAAAAGTAGGGATTTCCCAGCCCCACTGCCTAGAGATTTTGATTGAGTGGATAAGTGATGACTGAGAACCTAAGCTCTAAAAACCCTCCCTGGCATCTATTCTCCCAAGTGATTCTGACATCCAAGTGATTATTATGATAGGCAGTCTGATAGGAGAACCAATGTTCTATTATGTTGAAATTCTTTGTAAATTGGTGGTGTTTGTGATGCCATGGAGTTGGGCACAACAGGAGGAAACACCTTTACAATTGTTCTTAGGTACTCCTGGTGTGGCACTGTGAGTTAATGTGTTCAAGCCCACCAGCTGCTCCTCAGAAACCAAGTGTGGGGTCGCTATGAGTTG